ACCCCCCGCTGAGAACCTACTGTGGGGCCTCACTATGGGGTCCAGCAAGAGAGCCGACTAAAGTGCCGACAAGTCGCGGTGGCCCCGCTGCCGCCGGTGGGCCTGGACCCCAAATAATGCAGGTCCAATTAATATCACCTCTCCTCATTTCCTTTTCAAATTCAGGCCGTTCATTATCACTGCTGCTTTCCCACCCCACGCCTCTGATCTACTGTCAAAAATTTCCGCAGAGATATTGCGAATAAATAGTACGAAATATGGAACACTTTGTGCCAAGAAATAATCTTTCTCTTTGAAATAATGGATCACCCTTATTGGGGAGGGATCACCTTTCATGAATGTACTACATCCACCATTTGCCTTTTTACGAAACTGCCAAGCTCAGCCAAATGCAAAGCTCTTATAGCAGAGGTCTCAGACTGGCGGCCCGCGGGCCACTACCGGCCCCGATAGGGAAAGAGATAGTGATATGAGGGGCCGCATGAGTGCGAACGAGAAGTCCCACCCGGGCGGCCCGCGCGTCGTCTGCTGTCTGAGACCGCTGTCTTATAGCGCCGATAAGTAGGCAACACCCTGCCGCAGTGCATGCGTGTGCTGCGGGTTGGCCTAACCGAAGTCTCACAGGCGCTGAGGTCGTAATTTACCGAACGAATTTGGGGTAACGGACGATTTTCTGGACTATCTCTAAAAAGTACTTTTCTCAGTTTAGTGTTAAGTGTTTCCAGTCTCATCGTCTCCTATCTTATGTGACGCGGAAAAATTATTGACTTCATACCATAGAGTTCAAGCTATCCACAAACATTTACCACCATGTCTGCTGTGTGTTGTGGATTCTGAGATGATAGTGGAACCTGCTAAACTACTCGGCACTGATTGTAATACTTATTATCCCTAACATGAAGAAGATGAGGTGTTAGTAACCAACGAGTAAAAATGTGCGTTTAAAAAGAATTTAGTCGACTGCTTGTTGCCAGTTGCTAGTTGGCAATATTGAGGCAGGTCCGTATCACTGCCCACTAATTGCACGCCTTTGTTCGGTGGTATCTCTCG